GCAGGACCGTGTGGGAGTGTTTGCAGCAGCAGCAGGTTGGAGAGGTTGGCATGGATTTTGGGGCTGCCAGCTCTCTCCTGGGCATTTCTGTGCTCCTTGGAAAAAATGCTGGATGACTTTTTCTAATAGGTTTATAATCTGTGGTTTTGGCATTTGCCTGTTTTACTTGGATGGCATGAGCCTGCTCTGCTTGGCACAATGCCTTTGTTAAACAGCTGAGGCAAAGGTTGGTGCTAATTTGACGGGGTTTGGGACTGAGTCCAAGAGGAAAACGTTTGTGCATGGCTTAGTGTTGCTGGAGGAGCTGGGAGCTCCTGGTTTCTTGATGCCAGGCATCTCTGGACTCTGTTCAAAGAGAAATGCTTGCCATGGGTGAAGTCTGTCATCTCCCACTGGTGTAACTCGGTCCACGAGAGCAGAAATGACTCCAGGATTTTTTTACCAATAACTTTTTTTCAGTGACAAAACTATGCCAGAGGCAAGGGAGGTGTTAGCCTCCACAGCTGCATTGCGGTGTTTTTCTTTGTGATGTGATGAGCAAAAAGTGAAGAGATTAGACTGCTTTGCTTCTTTTTCTTTCTTTCTCATGCTTGAGGTCTTTCATCCATGTTGTAGGGCTTAGAAACCTCCTTGCAGAGGCAAGAAAGCCAATCCAAAGGGGTGCTCTTGGGCATGTACAGGACACATCCTGACTCATTAATGCTGAAAATGTTACTGATCCTGGCTTCCTTTTGAATGAAAGCCTTCCTGTCTTTGGGGATCACACCAGCAGCAGGAAGCCTCCTCCAGTGCTCTGGCTGGTGTAGGGGTTCAGGACAGAGCTGGATTTCTCCCTCCTGCCTTAAACATTACACATGGATAGCCTCTATCCCAGAACTTTGAATATATGAATGATCACCAAATTGCTTCAGCAAATGCCTAGAATTTGTCTAGTAACTGCAGATCACTTTTGTCATGGTCTTTTTCATCATGCATTAATTCCTAGTAATTCTCAAAGGTGCAGAGCAGGAGGCTGAAAAAGCTGGGCACAAACAGCAAATGTGCATTGTCCTTTTATCTATAGTTATTTCTTTTACTGTGGGTATATTATAGCTTATATAGATGCTGGACCTGTTTCTTTTAATCCCATTCACTTTGTGGTCTCAGCTGCTTCATGTGGAAGTGAGTCTCAACAACAAATATCTTAAATGGGGGTGAATTAGCCAGCTTTTAACATGGCTTGGCAGCTGCTTTATTCCGCCTTGCAGCAGATAGAGATCTCCTCTTCTTGCCATCAGTTGTGCATCTTAGCTGTCTTGGAGATGTGCCTTCAGCAGGCTGAGGTACCTGGGGCTCTTGGTGGGATGCTGAGCGGTGGCATCTCCCCATCACGTAGCCTGCTCTGCTGGGGTGAAGAACCCTGGCTGTTGGTCCTCCCCGTTCCTGGTAGTGCCAGCTCCAGCTTGACCTTGCAACAGGCTCTGCTCTGGAGTCGCAGGACGTCCTGGATGTGCTTTCTGTATCACCTTTGCCCAACTGCATCAAGGGAGCCAGTGGGAGGGGAAGGAGACTCCAAGCCACCACCCTGTGTTATTGGGAGGTGGAGCCAGTGTTGCCTGTCATGGGGTGATCATCCTGCAAGTTGGTTATGGCAAGCGTGGATTTATGTGCTGGTGAAATCCCCCAGAGACTAATAACTTGTCTCAAGCAAATGGGTGACTTTTCAGGAGTGATCCCTCCCTCCCATGAGGTTGCCTGTGTGGCAGATGGGGTGGTGTTTTTTCTGCACTTTGGTTAAAAGGATTTTTTTTTTTTTCCTTTCAAAGTCAAAAAGTGACTGGGAGTAGTCTCTCTAGCCCTGGTGGTTACATGGGCCTGGAGTCCTCTATCTGGATGTGCTCAGGCATCTCTTGGGATTGCTCCCAACCCCTGTGGTTCTTGGCAGTTTGGGCAAGGAAATGTTCAGAGACCTGATTGGAGCAGGAGAGCCACAAGGACACTTTGCTCCTGATTTGTTGGTTGAGGAGAACACCTGGTCATGACATGTTTGAACATGAACAGGGTCACCACCTGAAAACGGGTAGAGGAGGTCTCTGGATCATCTAGACTGCTGAGGAATGACTGTGGCTTTTGAGAGCAGCCTCAGCCCTGCCTGTCTGCTGGATGCTTACTCCGCCACTGGCCATCCCCATCAGGGTGGCTGTCTCTGGAAGCAGAGAAGCCCTCTGCAAGAAGACCGGGCCACAGGTGTTGAAGTGATGCTGAAAGTAAGGGGAGCTCATGTCACAAATTCCTGGATTATTTTGGTGGGAGAGTGCCATGCATTTTGCCTCGCGCACTGACCTCAGCATCTCCTTGGCCTTTGGCCATGCATGGTGAGGACTGGGCTGGATGTGAACACCAGCTGCTCTACGCCACCAGTGCTTAGAAGCACCAGTTGTAATCCGTGCCCTGCAGTTAGGACCTTGCAACTCCAGTGTGGTGATGCTTGGTGGCAAAGCTGTTGGCAGACACCATCTCTTTAGGTTTCCTACCCTCTCCCTTTGCTCCAGGCCTTCTCCCCAAGGCATGTCATCATAGTGTGTCCTGTGGGAAATAGATTCTGAAGAATTTTCTAGCTCAGTGCAGAAGTGGACCACTCTGTGTTTTAGAGTAGGGGAAGTCAGCATCTCTGATGCAAGATTGAAAGCCCCTTGCTAAGATCAGTGGGAGAGCTGGAAGAAATAATTTTGTTGGAAAGCACAAAATGAGCAAATATGTGTTTCATGTTGGATTCTGTAAGCCCACAGCAGCTCTCCCCAGCTCGTTGCAGCTTTCCCTGCAGATGCTGCTGGTGGACACTGGGAGAGAGCTGGAGACCACGTGCTCTCAGGATGTGCATCCTCTCAAAATGCTCTATGCCCTTTTGGAGCTTTGTTTTGGAAGAACTTGGTTTCTTTTTGAATTTTCCTGCCAGCTTGCCTCATCTCAATGCTTTAGAGAGGAGTCAGCCCTTCAAAAGCATTCAAATTTAAAAAAAGAATCAATGTTTCATTTTGAAAGTATTCTGCTCCATCATGTGCAAATTGAAGCCATACCCGTGGTCCAGATGGGCTTTGGATGTTTTTCCTTGGGGATTGCTTGGCAATTGTGCGAGGAGGTTTTTTGCTTGGTTGACTGCCTCAAATCTGCCTTTTGAAACCACTAGGGAAAGCCTTTCCTTGACTGGTGAGCAAACTGAGCACAGCAACTGCTTTCCTGGCATTGAACCTCATCATTCCCAACCTTTCCCAGAGGCCTCGCATCCCCTGGTCCAGCTGATCCACCTCTTGCTGATTTGGGAGTGTCTATGCAGAGGGTTGTCCCCTGCAGAAATAGGAACGTGAGCTTATGTGGGGGGCAATGCAGATTTGTGGCATGGGCTAAACTGTGACCCACAGGGGAGCTGTCAGGGAGGGCATGTCCAGTGAGTGAGGGCACAGGATAGAAAGGGCAGAAGATTCAACTGCTGCCTGAGCATCTCCAAGGAGCGCTCAAAGTTTGGCGAGGCCGAAGTAGTCCAGTTCTATCAGCAACAGAGATCGAGGCTAATTCTGCTTAATGGGCTCCAAGCATCCTCTCCACTTCTATTGAAACCTGTGTGACTGCAACAGTTTGGCTCCTCTGTGTCCCCTTATGCAAGACCTTCAGCTAATTGTCTTTAACCATGCGCCTGGTTGCTGAAAGCCTGCGTAGGTGAGTGCTTGTTGTCACTCAGGCTCCATGTGTAAGTAGATCTGAGAGATGTTTTGACCTCAGATTGGTTTTTAATACAAAAATGCAGATCTGTCAGGGAAAATGCTTGTGCATGTTGATGGTTTGAAGAAAAGCAAAATGTCTCCTATCAGCAGTTTCAGATGAAACTTTTTTTAGGTTTGGAATTATTTTGGCTTTGAACTTGGTGCTACTGGGGGCAGGGGGGGGAACCAAACCTTTAAAACCTTTCAGTGGTGAGGTGAGAGCTTCTACCATGGAGAAAATTAAATGTGTGGTCAGACTTGGGATGGTTTGGGCTTTTTCCTCATTTCCTACCATTCCCCCAAATAAGGAAGACCTTTTCCCTTTGGATCCAGCCAAGGTCATGCAGTGCCATCAGAAACCCAGGGCTCAGGTGGGCCAGGCAGTGATGCTCTGCCGGGATGTGGCTGTGCACAGGGCGTGTGAGTTCTGTCTGACCTCAGGGCGCTGCAGGAGCTTGCAGCAGTGGCAGAGGTGGGGTGGGAGCCACTGTCCTCATTCCTGTTCCCTGAACAATTGGTTTTCTTTGTCTCCTGTGGTGCTCGAGGTCCTGCAACCAGGGGCAGGAGGTTTCACGCTGGCTGCACCCATGGGTGTTGCTTTGAAGGCCTCTAGTGAGGAAACATGAGGCAGCACATGAATCAGCCTGGGGAGGTCGTGGCAGTGAGTCCTGGGAGCAGAGAGCTGCTCGGGTGTCTCACTAGGAGTGCTGTGGCCACCAACCCTCTGATCTGCTTCCAAGCAGCCGAAGGCAGAAGGGAGAAAAAATATGGGTGCTTTGATGGCATTTCAGATGGTTTGGGAAGTTTTGCCACTGTCTTTCATCAGTCCTGAAGGGCAGGAAAGCAGACACTGTAGCACTGGGACGGCTTGAAGCCAGCTCCAGCTCTACCAGGCTGTAACCTGAAGATTTCTTGCTGTGTTGGGTGGTGTTTCCTAGCCTGGGCAGCCCAAAAATGCTCACCTCCCCTATATTCTTTGTGTCTCTGCGTCAGACCTTGGCAGAAGCAAGGTTTCCCAGAAATGGGATCAAGCAGCAGAAATGGAGGTTCCCTCCTCTTGGAGGGAAGCCTTGGGCAAGTTGAGGATGGCTCTGTAAAGGGTTTCTGCTCCAGCTACCATTGGTCTCATCTTCCTCTGAGGTGGGTCCCCGTGCATTGGGTAGCATGGCGCAGCTGTGCAGGAGCAGCACTGGGGTGGGGAGGAGGAGGAAGAGGCTCCTGGCTTGCCCATTCCACACTGATTTCTTCCCCTCTTGCTTGCAGCCACAGCTACGGACGTTGGTGACTGTGTGCTGGATCAGCTCGGAGCCCCAGGAGGGAACAGGCGAATGGACCTGCAGGTTGACAGAGAGCTGTTTCCTGAGGGAGAACTGCTGCTCCAGGTATCGTGCCGTAGCTCGGTCATCTGGGGTCTTCCCTTGGCTCCCATTATTTGCTGGGCATGACAGCCGGTCCCTGCCTGCCGAAAGCAGCTATGGAGCATGTGGTCGACCTGTGGAGGAAAAGGAGACCCTGCCTTGCCAGGAGCTGCTTCGCTGTGATTACTGCAGGCTCTGAGCACTTCGGGACAGGGACCAGTGACACTGCCTGGCTGGGACGGGTCCCCGTTCCCACTGTTCCCTCCCACCCCCCACCGCAGTTTGCTGCCACTTCGGTTACACTGCAGCGGCTCTGTACGGGCTGTGCTGCAAACTGCATCCATGAACAGAGCAGGGCTTGGGGTAGTGGGTTGTGTCCTTCTCGCAAAGGTGTTGGGTGCACTCTGTGCCTGTAGCCGCAGGCGTCAGCTGTCACTGAGCCCAAACCTGGTATTTTTCCTTGGGACCTGCTACAGCTCACGGACCCAACGTGCACAAGTTTGTAAATCCCAACCAGGAGGGTGCAGGGGTATCACCCAGAATTGTAGGGAATGATTCCTCATTAGTCTTGGAGGTGGTGGGTTCCTTGTTTTCTGGTAAATGCCAAGAGGACAATGGTGATAGCTGCAGAATAAAACATCTGCTAGGAACTGTTTGCCCTACCTGGTGCATTGCATGAAGTCCCTAGCATGAGTTCACAGCCTGCCTGGGATGGAAAAAGCCCAGGTTCAGTTTGAAGTTTGAGGGGGAGAAAAGATGATGGAGCTGGGAGACGGTGGTGGATAAATTCAATGTGCAGCACAAGCTTTGCTTTGTAGAAAGGCCAGCGCGTGTCTAATGAAATAGCTCTTGCTGAATCTCAGAGAACAAGGAGCTGGTGAATCAGCTGGCCAGTATGCTGTTTGCTTGGGCTGCAATTTATAAATGTAAGCTGGAAGGAAATGGGATAGAAAGGGCCCATGGAAAGGCTGGTTGATGAATAAACATCTCGGCATCTCAACTTAAAACATGCTGCTCCTTGGGGCTGCAGGGCAAGTCTGTGCAAGACCTTTAATCGTTCCATGGCTGTGTTCCTGATACTACATATGTCTGTGTTTTCTGGACCTTGAGTCCTCTTCTCCCTTCTTCCACCTCTCCAAACAAAAGCAGATGGATACTTGGGTGTCTTTAAAGTCTGACTCTGCTGCCTTCCACCCTGCTCCTGCACAGCCTTACGTGAATGCCCACCGCTATGAACAGGCAGGCAGGCACGAGCACCCCTGCGAGTGGAGCCCCAGCAAGAACCCCCATGGAGGATTTTGCTGAGATTGTGACTCCTCAGAACCCAACATGACTTTTGGCAATGAAGCTTGGGCCATGTGCTCTCACGTGGGGGCTTTGCTCCCAGGAGCGGTCTCAGATGTCTGCAAGTATTGATAGTCATGGAAGAACAGCTGGAATAATGTGAGAGTCAGGAGGGAGCCTGTGGTTGCCCCAGTCCCACAATGGAGCTGCTCCCAAGTGCTCTCCAGGGATTTGAGCTGGACCATATGATGGCAATTTGTTGAGCCACCAGAGCATTGGCAGCCTTGGGTGATTGAAGGCATCTGGAGAGCTTATGAAGTGTTAATGTGACAGAAATCCCCCAGCTGAGCTTGCCCGATGGTTTTTTGGGGGGAGTCCTTCTCAAAGAGCATTTTAATCAGATACTGTAATTTGCAGAAAACTCTGGCTCATGGCCCTTCGGGGGGCTGCAGTGCACAAAGAAAAGGGACCAGTCCTGCTGCAAGCTGGATCTGTACAGTGTCAAGCAACATGCTCAATCCAGCAGCCTCTCAAATAATCCAAGCTGGAAGGAAATGGGATAGAAAGGGCCCATGAAAAGGCTGGTTGCTGAATAAACATCACGGCATCTCAACTTAAAACATGCTGCTCCTTGGGGCTGCTGATGACTAAAAAAAGCCATCCCAGCCGAGCCTGAGTGTTGCTGTAAATGGGCAAATGCATGAGCTGTGTCAGCCAATTGCTCCTGCCTCATCTTTGCATGGGGGGAGATGGTGAGCAGAGCCGAAGAAGCATCATGGGCGGCCGGACCCTTCTCTCCAGCCTGGTCTCAAGCAAACAGCATGTCCCCATAGTCGCTCCAGGGGCAGCTCAGCATGACAGAGTTGGGCAGTGAGGGCAGAGTCCCTGTTTGTGGCAGGTCCTGGCCTGATGGTTATGAGATCTGCTGAGACTTCTGCCCTCATCCCGATTAAACACAGACTTCCACTTAGGGTTTTCTTTTCCTAATTTCTTTCCTTCTATTCACTAAAAAATTAAATATATTACAGACAAGAGCAGGGGGCAAGAATTACTATCTAGTCCAGTACTTTCCTTTTGGAGAAAATCAGCCTGAAAGGGTCACCAGATATCTCTGGATCTTTATCTTGCCTCTTTTTCTGGGTATTCACTAGAGGTGTGAGCTCCCCTGCCTCCACCCCAGCCATGATCTCCTATAGTTTTGGAATAGTTTATTTGATTTGGTGTGGGTTTGGCCTTTTTCAGGCAAGGAGCTACCAGTTGGGTATGGATTTAGCTGCAGACCATGTGTATGTAATTGCAGAGCACAAGGCAAGAAGAAGTGAAGTTGGCAGATGGTATGAACACAAAGATATTTTTTATAGAGATTTGGGTGTTTTGTGTTTAAAGCCTTATCTTCTGTAATCTAGAACATTGGCAAGAGGAGAGTCATTTTCCCAGTATGGTGTCTCGTAGTGGCAGTTCAATGCCAGGATGTATTGGGGGTGCAATGGGGTTTGTTCCTGACAAACATCTCAAGAGCAATGGGGCCTCTTGAGATGTTTGTCAGGAACAAGAACAAAATCAGATGAGAAGAGGTTGTGGTCCTGTGTAATGGGAGACAGATGAGAACAGGAAGCTGTCACCTCCTTGATGTGTCAAAAAGTCTACACGTTTATAAGGACCAGGGGATGCCATGTCAGATGTCACAGATGCGATGTCAGGGCTCTCACAAATCTGGGATCTGAGTTTCCAGATTTTTCCATCTCTTTTGCTTTCAAGATGGGTGTTGGTTTTAGCTGCACTACCATCTTTGAATGATAGCGGTGACTGGATTTGGTGTTACTTTGTGTGCTTTGTGATGAGTTGTTCACGTACCCTTGGAGCTGAGAGCAGGAGTTTGACAGACAGCAATGTCCTCAGATGCTAAGGATTAAAAGGCAGGTTTTGGGGGGTGATTGGGGAAAGTGTGGGGTGAAGACATACAGAAACAAGCTTGTATAATCTCCTAACTGTAAAATTCAGGGTGAGGAGCAAGGCCCAAAGTGTCTTTGGAGGTCATCCTTAAAACAAACAAGAGGATAAATAGGTCAGGTCAGTGACTGACTGACTGCAGTTTGGTTACTATCTCTGAAGGCTTCATTATGCTTGAACGGATGCTAGGGTCCTCCCGGAGTCACCAGGCTCCTGCACTGCTCAAGGCAGTCCTTCCTCCCTCTACACTGCCTGTTGCTGTTTCTTATTGAAGTTATAGGTAAGTTTGTTAAAGAAAATCAGAGCCCCAGAAGAGTATAGCTATACCCAGCTGGTACAGCTGGCAAGGAGGTAACTAACTCTAGGTCCTCCATGAAACCTCTCCTTAGCTGGTCCCTCCTGATGCAAGAGCTGCCCTGCGGTGAGAGGGCTTCAATGATGGGTCTAGAAAAAGTGGTCAGTCCATCTTGGATCATTGCTCATGGTAGCACTGAAAAAAACCCCAAACCCAACTAACCAAGATTGTCTTGCATGGTCACAAGGTGCTTTCCTTTCTTGTGGGGTTCCTTGTTGATGAAGAAGATCCCTTCCTGTCCCCGAATGCTGAAGAAACACCTGGAGAAGTTCATCTTTCAACAGCTGGATTGAAGCTAGGGAGAGTAACTCTGGGCTCAACTTCTGCTTTCAGGCACTCAATGGATTTGTCATTGCCGTGACCGGAGATGGCTACATCTTCTACATCTCCCCTACCGTGCAGGACTACCTGGGCTTTCATCAGGTAGGTGCCATTTTTTCCTGGCTGTAAACAGATGGATGCAGTCCAGGTCTGGGAAGGAGGTGCTGATAGTCGTGCCAGGGCTTTCTTTTCCCTTCCAAGCTCCCTTGGGTCATTTTTGATGTACATTTTCAGATGACTCATGTTCTTTGGGGGCTGTGAAAGCCTACAAGCATGCTTGTGACTTTAGCAGAAACAGATGCAAGCTGAGCAATTGCAGGCTCTGTATCCTCTTGTCTTTGTATGTAAGAGGGGTGTGAGATTTTTCTTGTATCATGCTGCTGGGCTCATATGCTCTCACTTACAGAGGGCTGAGGGTATCTCACTGGTGAGTAGTGTCAGTGCCCTGAAGTACTGTGGGTTGCATGGGATGCCAGAGAAAAGCAGGTCTCTCTCCACATCCACCCTGTTACCTCCGATTCCCCTGACATCCAGCTCCTTTGGCCAAGGGACTGAGTCAACAGGAGGGCCATGAGGCTGCCAAACCCATTTCATTGCATAGGTTCCTGGTGCACCCACAGAGACTGATGTGTTTTCTTCTTCATCCCCCCTTTGCACCCTTTCCCAGCTCACTGGGATCCTCGGGGGCTGATGCCCCAAGTCAAAACAGCTGTCAGGCAGGGAGTGGTCTTCTCAAAGTACCTGTACACCTGGTTAAGCAGGAGGCTCTGCTCTGGCATTTTTCTGAGGGCAGGGAGATGGCAGTCGGTGGCCTGAGCTGCCCGGGGGCTTGGTGAGACCATGCTGACCACCACAGCATGCAGGACTGGGATGGGAAAGGCTGGTCCAAGGCATGGCCCTAGAAGAAGGGGGCTGCGTTGGGAGGCAGGAGGTGTGAGGACTTGCTGGTGTTTCTGCCATGTGGCTAACTTTACAGTCCAGCATCAGCATGTCTGTCTTTCCTGGTGGCCCACTAAAGAAGATTGTTTGAACTGGGATACAGATTCCCGTGGCTTTGGAGTAAAAAAACCCTACAAAAACCTTTTTTAAAACAGCAAATCCCCCTGCATAAGTCTGGAAAAAAAAAGAGGTTTTTTTGGTCAAAATGTTCTGATCAACCTTGAAATTATTTTTTACATTGATCCTGTGGAAGAAACAAATCTGCTTATTTGCAGAGGGCTAGGGATGGCAACGCAAGAAAGGTCTTGCGTGCTGTTGCAGACTGGCAATTCGTACCCTGCTGTGGTGGGTTGACCCTGGCTGGACGCCAGGTGCCCACCAAAGCTGTTCTATCACTCCCCCTCCTCAGCTGGACAGGGGAGAGAAAATATAACAAAGAGCTTGTGGGTCAAGATAAGGACAGGAGAGATCACTCACCAATTACCATCATGGGCAAAACAGACTCAGCTTGGGGAAAATTAACTCAATTTATTACAAATCAACCAGAGTAGGGTAATGAGAAATAAAACCAAATCTCAGAACACCTTCCCTCCACCCCTCCCTTCTTCCCAGACACAACTTCACTCCCGGATTCTCTACCAACCCCCCCTCAGCGGCACAGGGGGACGTTGATGGGGTTTACAGCCAGTTCATCACACGTTATTTTCTGCCGCTTCATCCTTCTCAGGGGGAGGGCTCATCACACTCTTCCCCTGCTCCAGTGTGGGGTCCCTCCCACGGGAGACAGTCCTCCACAAACTTCTCCAACGTGGGTCCTTCCCACGGGCTGCAGTTCTTCACGAACTGCTCCAGCGTGGGTCCTTTCCACAGCGTGCAGTCCTTTAGGAGCACACTGCTCCAGCATGGGTCCCCCGTGGGGTCACAAGTCCTGCCAGAAAACCTGCTCCGTGGGCTCCTCTCTCCACAGATCCGCAGGTCCTGTCAGGAGCCTGCTCCAGCGCAGGGTTCCCACGGGGTCACAGCCTCCTTCGGGAACCCACCTGCTCCGGCATGGGGTCCTCCACGGGCTGCAGGTGGATATCTGCTCCACCGTGGACCTCCATGGACTGCAGGGGGACAGCCTGCCTCACCAGGGTCTTCACCATGGGCTGCAGGGGAATCTCCGCTCCGGCGCCTGGAGCATCTCCTCCCCCTCCTTATGCACTGACCTGGGGGTCTGCAGGGTTGTTTCTCTTATGTGTTCTCACTCCTCTCTCCAGCTGCCATTTCCGTCTGTCCCAACTGTTTTTTCCTTCTTAAAAATGTTATCACAGAGGCGTTACCACTATCGCTGATTGGCTTGGCCTTGCCCAGCAGCGGGTCCGTCTTAGAGCCGGCTGGTATTGGCTCTCTCGAACACAGGGGAAGCTTCCAGCAGCTTCTTACAGAAGCCACCCCTGTAACCAACCCCCCCGGCTACCAAGACCTCGCCACACAAAGCCAATACACCCGCAAACAAATTCGCCTCTAGCAACCCGCAGCCTTTCTGGCGCTGTGTCCGAGTTTGGTCCTGAGAAGATGCTAGAAGTTAAAACATGCCAGGCAAATGCCACTGCTGCAGCGTTCGCCTTGCCAATGGGGAGCAAAGCTTCCCAAAGAGCAGGGGCTTCCATGGCAGGGGAGGGAGCTGGAGTTTCAGCATTTCCCGTGGACTGCGGTTAAGGATCAGGAGCCAGAGCCAGTGTGAAACATCCTTGGAAGGGCTGGGTGATGCCAGGAGAACCTCAGCCTTGCTGGTGTCGGGAACAGGCTGGAAAGATCTGCTTAGCTATGGTAAGAGGATGTTGGGGCAAGGGGCAGTGTGACAGTCCTGAGCAGCCAGGCTTACTCAGGCATCGCCGTTTTTATTGCTTCTAGAAGCCTCTGAGCTGTTCCCACGATTTCCCCAGGCAGACCCCCTCCCTGCTCCCTTTTCCTCCTCCCTGAGCCGCCCTCCCTAAAAAAGCAGCCGGTTCCTGTTCCTTGCTCTCCATGCAGCGCACAAAGCTGGTTGCGTTTGCCTGTTTCTTTGCACTCAATTGCTGCACTTTTAGTACCCACAAAGGAAAGGCTCCTTTTGTGTCCTCCTCCAGACACCTCTGCCAGGCTGGGCAGGTTGTCAATGCTCTTCTCCCCTTGTGTCATACCAGTCAGATCTCATCTACCAGAGCGTGTATGAGCTGATCCATGCGGACGACAGAGCTGCCTTCCGCCGCCAGCTGCACAGGGCCCCGGTGTCTGGCAGCACCCAGCACGCTGCCGATGGTGAGTGCCAGGGTGATCCCTGGGGACCAGCCAGCCACCTCTGCATGGCCACCCCCTGCTGGAAAACCCTTCTGGTGGCATTTATAGCCACCAAGCACAGCCCTGTGCTGAAGAACATCCCATAGCCTCCCTCTGGGACTCGCAACCATCCCAGGGGTTGGCACGGCCACTTGTCACCAAAAGCAGCCAACAGCAATGACGTGCTGCGTTTCGCTGTGCTGGAGGGACGGGGATGCTTCTCCCAACCGTTTTTGCTTTAAAGGGTTTGAAATCCTATTTATTTCACTGGGGGCAGCTTGTTGTCTTGCTACTGTCTGAGAGGCGAGGGGACCAGAAACTATTGTGAACTGGTCATTTCCCACAGCAAGGTCTTACTCATCTGTGAAGGTCATGGCTTCACTTGAGCAGCAAAGTCTCCACCAGGAGCAGGTCTGTGAGGCCATGAGCTCGAGGTGTGCAGCTCAGAAAGCTTCGTTTTCCCTTTGGTTTCCCAGCCTTTCCCACTGACCAGCCACTGCTGGCTGGATGCAGCACCAGGTCCAGCCCACAGTACCTCCACTCTGAGAAGACCTCTGTGGAGAGGAGCTTCACCTGCCGCTTCCGCTGCTTGCTGGATAACTCCTCAGGATTTCTGGTAAGAAAATCTGTTTCTGTTCCCTGGCGGCCACTCATGTCCCATGGGGATGGGAGCACAGCCAGTTCCCGTCACCCTGTTTGCTTCACACCCACATTTTCTAATCCCCTCTAAGGCCTTGAATTTCCATGGGCGCTTGAAATTCCTTCTCGGGCAGCAGAAGTCAGCATCGGACAGGTCCCCGCTTGCTCTCTTTGCCATTGCAACTCTCCTTCAGCCGCTCTCTATCCTGGAGCTTCAGACCAAGATGCTGATCTTCCAGACAAAGCACAAGCTGGACTTCACTCCCATGGCCTGTGATTCCCGGTAGGGCATCTCTCGCCTTCCCCATGGCAAAATCCCTGGTGCTGGACAGAAAACCATAGCCCGTGGGAGCAGGGCAGTTTTGACCCAACTCCTATGGCAAGGTGCCTGATGCTTTTGTCCATCCGCTGCAGCCCCCCGGTAACACAGGGAGCAGATTAACTGGGTGCCAGCACGTCTTGGCTGCTGTGTTTTAGCCCAGCAAACCCAGCATGGGGTGGTTCTATGGAAGAAGGGAATGCAGCTCAGCCCAGGGTGGAGAGTTGCACCACCCAAAGTGGGAGGCTTTGACTTAGCTGCCTGGGTGCTGGGCAGGGGATCATGTCTGGTGGGTGGGGTGCAATTGGGGGATCCATCCCTGGTGTCATTGGGTTTCTGCACTGTTTTCAGGGGAAAGGTTGTCCTGGGGTACACGGAAACGGAGCTGTGCAGGAGGGGGTCGGGGTACCAGTTTGTGCACGCGGCTGACATGATGCACTGCGCAGAGAACCATGTGAGAAGTGAGTGCCAGGGAGGAGCAGCGGCACTGGCTGGGGGGGGTGGGCATCAGGGTTGGGTGTGTTTGGGGTGGCCCTCATGGCTCCCTGGTACTGGTGCAGCTCTGGCCATGCCGGTACCGTTGCTCCTTGCTGGGCCATCTGTCCCAAGTCTGGAGCAGCTGTGATAAAGGCTCTCCCCTCCTGGGTGATGATACCTGCTCGGGGAGCTGACAGAGGGACAGCACCACATGCTGGCTGTGTCCTGCATCTTCTGCCCCCGTAGTACGGGTGTGAGGTGATGCTCAACCTCATGGCATCTTGCATGTCCCATTTGTCTGTCCCCATGGAGTAACCACATCCGTGCTGCCTCTCTTCTCTCCCTGCCCCAGTGATGAAGACAGGGGAGAGCGGGCTGACTGTTTTCCGGCTGCTGACCAAGAAGGGTGGCTGGGTGTGGGTGCAGGCCAATGCCCGGCTGGTGTACAAAGGGGGCAAGCCCGACTGCATCATTGCCCGGCAGCGAGCCCTGTCGTGAGTATCACTGGATCTCCAGCTGCCTTCACCTGCTCTTAGCGTGTGGGGTCGTGGGGCTGCTCGAGGCACACAGAGGCAATGCGCGTGGAGGAAAGGGTGGTTGGGTTGCACAGTCAGCACTTTCCAGTATGTGCCCTCCTGTAGCAGGGAGGTGTGAGCAAAACAGCTCTGAGAAGGTGGCTGCAGACACTGAGAAGGGCTGCAGGTGAGCCCTGGACACGCAGCCGTTCCCAGAACCATGCAGACCTCCCCATGGGCTCCCCAGAGCCACAGTCCTCCATCAGCAGCATCGCAGCCAGCCCAATCCAGCACCCTTTTCTTTAGAAAAGCCAGGGCAGGGCTGTGAGCTCCTGTCTCACTGTTGGGAGGGTGGTTTTGCCTGGCCCAGAGGAGATGCTCATGCTATTTTCATCTCTTTTTCCCTCCACCCTGAAGGAATGAAGAAGGGGAGGAACATCTGCGGAAGAGAAAGCTGCAGCTGCCTTTTAGCTTTGCCACAGGGGAAGCAGTCTTGTACGGGAATGACCTTCCTGAGTTCCTGGACTCCTTCCAGACTAAGGAGGAGTTGGAGACACAAGGAAACTCCCACTCAAAGCAGTGCTCGGTAGACCCCAACTCTCTTCTTGGGGCCATGATGAAGCAGGATGCATCCATATACATCTCCCATGCTGATAACGTGCCTCAGTTCTCCTTGCCAGATCTCCTCGCTGAGCCCAATGGACTGAGCCAGAATGAGGAAGTTGGTGATGCCAAGGAGGACAGCGACTCCCTCCTGGTCGTTATCAAAACCCTCTTTGAGAAAAGCAAAGTGGATGGAAACATCTGCCAGACCCTCCAGAGCCTCAATGTGGACAACGCAGAGCTGCAGCAGTGGGAGGAGGCTCTGCTCAGTTTGGGTGCAGAGGAGGACCTGCCAGCTCAGGAGGTTGGCGAGAGGCTGGGCACTGAGGTGACATCCTATGTGGAGCAGATGCTCCTCAGGGAGGGTGCTGGGAAGAGCATGGACTTTCTGCACTGCAGTGCATCATCCTGCAATGAGGAAAACAGTGCTGTGGCTCATTTCCAGCACTGCTGGGCAGCTAATTCAGTGTTTCAAGCCCCACCACAGCCCCAGGCATCTGGTGCACAAGGCCAGGATGCTGTTGTCTCTCTAGTCTCCGTTACATCCGAGGTCAGCTCTGCTCAACCAGAACAGCAGGTCCCATTTAACCCAGCCGGGCTGGTGGGGGGGACAGTTCTGGATGTCCTGGTCTCCAGCAGCAAGTCCTCTGTAGCACTTCAGCTGGGAAATCCGGGACAAGTGCTTCAAGCAGAAGTTACCACCTCTACTCCTGTAGATAACACTATTCCTAATGATCAGAGCCAGCCTGGGTGCAAGTTGGTGGGGTCAAGCTGCCCACCTCCGTTGCACCCAAACACACTAGTGACTCAGTGGCACAATGTCCCAGCCCAGGCAAACCCAGCCAATGCTTTGGGTCAGAGCGCTTCTCCTGGAGGTTGCCCATCAGAGGCTTGGATGGCCATAGCTCCGAAACAGCTGGAAGCTGCAGGAACGCATCTGGAGTCACAAACTCTCCTGGCTTGCAGCCCCGAGACCCCCCCGGGGGCTGGGCTGTGGTTGGTGCCCTCCCAACCTGCTCCTTGCCCTGCACAAGGCTCGCATGGGTCCTTGTTCTCTGGGGCTGGGGACCTCCGTGATGAGGAGGCTGCTCTCCCTGCACAAGCATCAGCACCCGTAGGAGTCAGCCAGCAGCCAGGGGATGGTGGCTTCCCTAAACAGCCCCTGATACCCCACCTAGAGCCCAGCTTTTCCTGGGAAGGGGAGCAGGCAGTGCTCCAAGAGGACAAGTGGTTTGTGCAGTGCCAGCCATGGCTCCTGCAGGCTGGGGCAGCTCCTCAGAGATGCAATGGGGCAGGTCTGGTGCAACACGGTGGACTCCTGCTGGGGTCCAGCATGGGTCCTAGCACACACCAGATGGACCACGTTGTGCTGCCCGAGTGCCAGTATGGAAATAGCCTTTTTAAACACAACAGCAACCTTTTTAGGGATGCTTCTAAAATATCGCTTCCCCAGCAGCTGGGTGCTTTGCCTTGCCCTAGCGAGAGCCACCCTGGAGCATCATGTTCCTCACTGGGCTCGGTTTTGAGGTGCTCAGCAGCTCTCCCTGCGAAGGTGGGTGCAGGAATACTGCCATCCTCCGAGTGGGGCCCTGGCTTCCCATCAGTGTCCTTTGCGGGTGGGCAGCCGCTCTGTGCCTGCGAGGTCCAGCTCAAGGTGAGGTGCGAGGGCTGCAGGACCTGAGGGGTGCACCGGCTCGTGTGGATGGAGTGAGGGGTGCTGCTGGGGGGATGCAGGCACAGCACTGGGAAGCCTGTTTTGAAGCCTCAGTGTGAACTAGGAGCCACATCTTGAAAAGCCACCAGTAATTACAAGTTCTTCTGGCCATGCACACCTACCTACGAGCGGTGCCCCATGCCTCCTGGTCGCTCAGGATTTTGTCTTCCAGTGCCTGAAACAAGGTGCCCTAGCAGAGCTTTCAGGCAGTCTAGGATAAAGTGTTTTGTGGTTTGTTTTTGTTTTTTTTGTTTGTTTGTTTTTTACATGAGAAGCCTTTCAGGGAGATGCAGCCATGCCAGTGGGAAGGTTTGTCAGGCTCTTGGGGTCCAAGGAAGGACACCCTGCTTGCTGGCCCGTGTGCTCGTGGCAGCCTCTTGCAGATGGACCTGCTGCCTTACAAGCATGTAGCACTGAATTGCTGTTTCTTGATGCAGTGTAGTCTCCTCATCACCTGTGTGCGTGGACCACCCTTGTCATGTTGTTGTTCAGTCCCCTGCATCATTCACCCTGCCTGAGACCCTCTGCTCTGCTCCTTGCTCCCTCCCTCCTGTGCTCACCATCTCCTCTCCTCCGTCTGAGCCCCTGGTGACCCAGTTACTTTAGAAAAGGGGGTGTTACCAAGCCCTTTGAGAAGCTCAGCAGCATTTGAAGGGTCTCTGAGGGAGGTGGGGTTGGCGAAAGCAGAGGCACCTTGGGATTTTGGGCTGCTCAGCAGCCTTCCTGGGGAGTTTGGGAGAAGCCGGTACCAGGCTGTGCCCTTCCCTTACAGCAGGGTGGGGAAGGTCCAGCCAAGCTCCCCTTGGGTTTGTCACTGGCTTCTCTTTGCTTTCCTCTCCTGTGCTCAGCAGTGCCATCAGATGGAGGAACAATGGGGTTTACTCCTGCAGTTGCTCAGGATGTTGTGGGTTTGCCAAAGCAGCGAGAAAGGCGGGAAGGGATGCAGTGACTGCTATCTGCCTCTCTCCACTTTGGACCAACTTTGTGCCCTTCACACTGTTTTCCTGGAGACCAGCACAACCACTTTGTTGAATTCCCTTTCTTTTGTATTTTTTAACCTAAGATGTGAATTAAGTTTTTTCCCACCACGGGGCAAGTTCTGCCAGACCCCTAAGGGAAAATTCACAGAAAAAGCAATGATGGCTGGGGGGAGGGTTTGGTTCAAGACCAGATGTGGCAAGCCACCTTGGTCAGAGAGGTCAAAGTGCTTCGAGACCTCCATATCTTCCCCCCTTGCACCCATCATCCTGAGTCTGTCTCTCACACCAGTACTAACCATGTACTCTTTGCCAAACGAGTAAAATCAGGTAATTAGTGCAGGGCTAGCCCAGCAGCAAGCCTGTGTGTGTCCTGGTGTGGGGTGGCCTCATCTCTCTAGGTCTCTTCCTTTGTGCCCTGTTTTGCCTCAGTGTGCCGGGGCTCCCGGGGCTGCTAGCCAGGCAAGATGGGGCTCAGGAAGGGTTGAGCTCCTGGCTGCAGGCTGGGAGCAGAGCGATGCTGGAAACATGCTGGACCCCTCCGAAGCAGCCTGGAGGAGCACCTAGGACAGGGCAAGGAGCTGACTGGTCATGATATGGAGCCTTACAAATCAGCAGACCTGAAAAGCAGCAGGATGGACTCTGCTCACCAACCCTTTTTGCCCTGGCGCCTGTAAGATGACGTGAAGCAGCGCACGGCCCCAGCCAGCGGGTGCTGAGGGGTCCCGGTCCTGCAAGAGGTGCCCTTGGGGAGGGGACGCCCTGCCAGGCTGGGGTGGGGCCAAGACAGACCCCTGGTGCTCTGTTACTTGTGTCTTATCTCTTTATATGTTGTGTATGTGCATATAACATCTATTTTCATGGCAGTATCTCATTTTATGCTTTGTGATTTCTTTGTATTGCTGTTGGCAGGCAGACGATGCTGAGGAGAAAAAGATGTCCTGAAACTCACCCCCTGTATTTGGTTACGTATTAAAAGGCAATTTGCTTTGTATAGCGGTGATGGTTTGTTTTGACCTGAAACGGTGTCTCTCCATTTCCCTCTTGACTGAGCGAGTATTTGAAAAAGCTTCCTTTCGGCTTAGCCCCGAGTCTGATTTCTGTGGGCTGAAGGAGGAGGACAGCCCTGGCTCACCCCCTCCTCCTGCACCCGGCGAGACACGGGGCTGGGATCACGGGTGGGGAAGGGCTGTGCTTTGCCTTGTACAGGGTAATTTTGGGGAGGAATGCAGCCCTGTGGACACCCTCCAATGTTACAGGCAATGAAGACAGGCTTGCATGCCCCGTGTGTTTGTGTTGTGAGCTTGCTTGGTGCCTAGCCCTGTTGCTGCGTGTGACTCAGTGGAGCATTTTGGAAGGACGGAGCTAGGGGGAACATGGCTGGTGCATGCACACACACCCCCCCACCTCCAGGTGAGTGTGCAGCCATGTGTGCCCAGCCCAGGGTGGGTGTGTGGCACGCTTGTTCTCACTGTCCCCAGCCACTACGGGCATGCGCAGCGGCAGGGGTGTGACAGTGTCCCCCGGCTGCACCCCCTGAGCACCCTGTGCAGCAGTGGGGCTCGCGGGCACGGTTATGCTCTCAATGCCGATGGGTGTGCACAGCTTCCTGGGTGCCAGTGCCGTGCACGCTAGTGCACGGACACACACGCTCACTCACACGTGCCCTGATGTGGACACATGCTCTTGCAGTGGCGCACATGTTGACATGCACGTGGTCATGCTGACGGTCACCCTGGCACGCCAACACCGCTGTAGTGATGCGAGCGCTCGCACCCCTCGCCCATGTGGGTAGTGGGGCTTGCTGCCCCATTTCCTCCCCTCATCCCCCTAGTCCCCCTCATCCCCCATCCAGACCTCATCACCCTCACATCCCCCCTCACCTCC